CCGTTTCATCATTAACAGATTCATAAAGAGATTCATACCATATATAATAATTTGTCCAGTTTAACGTCAAAATAGCAGAGATGCAAGGATTGTTCAAGGCTAAAGAAAATAACATGGGCAACGAACAATAGGCATATAAAATAAGATCATGCAATTTGCCTTTTACTTAGCCTTCCCAATGATCCAAACCAATATGATCATTGTGTGCTAGAGTCCGTTGAGTAAGAATAAAACTCTTTTGCAGGTAAGGACCATTCATCAAACATCACAACCAAATGCATCAATCCATCACCGATAGGGTAATAAAGATGATGTGGTTTATGACATCCAATAAACTTCCTTCACCGGTCTAGGCATCCTACCAAATAATTAATTATCGATAGGATAATTTAATTACCCGTATGGATCTTAGCCATATGATAAATACATACATTTATCCTTAACACTCCAATATATTATTTGACTATAATATGAGTTTAGTGATTATGCAAGTCCACATATAATCATTCACAATAGTCTCCCACTTGGACTGCATAATCAATGACGACAATACTCATATAATACAAAATGTCAAATAATAATATGTAAATAAAAACATGGATAAAGACAACAAGCTTAAGCTCCAACAAGACTCAAGCATCCTACCAAGCAATACAACTCTCAATAGGATAATTCTATTACCCGTATGGACTTTCAGAACATAATCAACTAATTAAGTTTATCCAATAATCCCACAATTTATTATTTGATAATAATATGTGAGTTAGTGATTATGCTAATCCACAAAAAAATGTTTCTAATTTTCTCCCACTTGGATAGCATAATCAAAAAACATGATACTCACATAAAACATGATATCAAATAATAATTATAGCAATAATAAATAAATTATGGATAAACTTATAGCTTAAGCTTTATAATAGCACATAAGCTTCTAATTAAAATTTACATTCTCACTTTAACACAAAAGAGACTATGTATGCCTATACAAATAATTAGACATTAAAACGTTGAACACAAAATGGGCATTTCAAAATGTGAACAAACATCCATATTATGTCTAAATTTTATTTACCAAAATATTAAATTATGTGGGAGAACAAATAAAATATGACCATATAATATGGAGTAACAAACATGCCTCAAAATTTTAAGTCTCAAAATAGTAAGAATTAAAACTACCCAGAAAATATATGAAAATTATTAAAATAAACAAATATTTAAATAAAAATATTCATGCCTCAAAATTTTAAGTCTCAAAATAGTAAGAATTAAAACTACCCAGAAAATATATGAAAATTATTAAAATAAACAAATATTTAAATAAAAATATTCATGCCTCAAAATTTTAAGTCTCAAAATAGTAAGAATTAAAACTACCCAGAAAATATATGAAAATTATTAAAATAAACAAATATTTAAATAAAAATATTTTCTGGTAGCTCATGTGCATCCATGTAAGGAGTGTGTATATGCCAATGCCCTTTTTCAAAAGAAAATGCTAAATTTTGTGGGAGAGCTCCGTAACATAATAACCGAGACAATTTGACATGTTTAGACTCACGACAGGCGAGTACATAAACATTAACTATTGTCGAATTCTCACAATTAAATATGCCATATAATAATAACAACATAATATAAATTTTATGGCATTAATCATCAAACAATTTGTATACAAAATGCCTAGAAAAAATTTGTTTAAAAATTGTGAGAATTAGCCACCCATAAAAATATAAAATCAATAATATGAAAATATTAAAAACATGATTTTATGGTGGCTCAACCCAAAAATAAATCATTTAATTGGGTAGGAAATGAAAAACGGAGCGCAACAGCGGTCAAAATGGACTTCGGATGTGTTTGTACGGACCGGTCAAAGTTTAGTCAAAACTGATTTTTTTTTTGTTATTAGAAAACGACATGTCTTTTTGGGACATATGGAAACGACATGTCATTTCACTAACGAGGTAGCCCGTGAACCTTGCAAACGGCATGTCGTTTTGGGGCATATGGAAACGACATGTCGTTTCACTAACGAGGTAGCCCGTGAATCTTGCAAACGACATGTCGTTTTTCACATGGATAGAAAAACGACATGTCGTTTTGATCTTCCCTAACCTCTGAAACTTTACAGATCGGGTCCGATCGGATCCGTGACCTGACCCGCTGGAAAAGTGAGTTCCGGTTGTCCATTTTTGATGTTTTTGGATGGATTTTGTTCCAAATTTCATTCTCTTTGGTCTTCAAACATCAACTTCACTCAAAAACCCATAAATAACAAAACCCCATGAAGTGCACGAATGTGCATAGCAAGCTCAAGAAAAAGAAAAAAAACTGCAGCCTCAAATCCAATAAGATAGGCTCTGATACTATTTGCTAGATTTTAATGATCTAAACACAATCTAAATAAGATCAAAAATAATAATGTAGCCAAAATCCGAAAATGTCATATAAACTTATTTGGGATTTAGGCACACAGAATGTTACCTCTTCCGGTGGGCAGCGGAGACAAGCCGTTCATGGTCACCGAAAAAGGTCAATGGCCGGCCGGAGTGGAGGACCTGCAAAAGGAAGAAGGGCAAGAGGAGCATTGAGCTCCTCCCTATCTCTCCCTCTCTCTGTTTGGCCACACCTAACCACAATGCCACCAGCCCCCCCAAAAATAAAAAGGTGGCTCACAATATAAAAAAGAAATGGGGATATTTTGCTTTAACCAATATTCAATTAGAGAGGGTATTTGGTCCAATGAGCTGACCAAATATTATGAGATAGAGAGAGTTCATATGCCTCAAGCGAGTTAATAAAATAAGTGTTCATCCCATTATGGACTGATATTTAACATACATGCATGTGTTAATTCATATTAACGCAGTTATCCATAAGATGCTTTAATTAATTACAGAATGAATTATTATGATTACGGAAGTCCACATAAAAATATTCCAACATCCTTCTCAAGATAATTTCTAATGTCTTTTTCCAAACAACCAATATTCTCATGTCCACCATGTTGCTTAGCCAATGCAGATAAGATTTTACTTGTGCCCACCCCGACACTTTGTAAAGTGTCAATGCTATGCTTGTTAGGAGAATTAATCTTCCTATAGCAGGGGAAGTAATGAGCTTGAGCAGGATAAAGTTCATGGTTATGTTCTTTAACAAAATTTTGAACATACCATTTTCCATCTAATTTCCTTTTAACATGCAATATGGCCTTGCAATCTATCTTCAAGCAAGGACGTTGGTTAAAGGCATTAGATTACCGGTTCACTCCATGTCTTGTACAAACAAACTTGCAGTCAATGAATTCTCTAGATATCTTTGATCTACGACTTGATTTCGTTGAAATACCAAATCCAAGATGCTTAGCATACTTTAAGTAAAACGAAAAGGCCTCTTGGTGTGAATCAAAGCACAAACCGTTACAAGGTTCTAAATTTTTGCGACCTTCATCCGCCGTGTCTTCTCTCAGTTCATCCAGAAAATCCTCACCGCATTGACCAAGTTTAAGTTTAAATCAATGTCCAATGTCATAGTTACCTAAAAGAGAAAAGATTAAGGAATTTGTAAATATTAACTTCTCGTTTGTTATTCACTAAATAAACATAAGGACCAAATAACGAAGAGTATAGGTTATTGGAAAAGATCTTCTTCCAAGTAAATGACATTATAGATAGATAGAGAGAGAGAGGGCATTGATTCTTAAAAATTTCAAGGTTTTTTTTTTTTTTTTTTTTTTTTTTTTTTTTTTTTTTTAATTTTCTAACATAGAATCATATAACCAAAAAATATCATCAAATTTCTAACTTAATAGATTAAAAAAAAAAAGAAAAAAAAGTCTAACTAAAACAAAAAATGTAAATCCATTACTAGTAAATAAAAATCTCACCTTTTCCTAAAATTAGCAAGTAGAGTTTATGTAAATACCTACATAATTTATAATATATTTAAAAAAAGAGAAAATACCTTTGATCCATACAACTTCAATGTAGTTTCTCCCCTCCACTCCAATAGTTAGAGAGCTCTTCCTATTCATTGAACAGAGAGAAGAAGAAATGGCCTTTAAAATGCAAAATGAAATTGGGATTTGGGGAAGACGCTTTTCTTTCCCGCCCTTATATTGTTAGGGGTAAGTTCGTAATTCAACAAATAGAAGAAAAGATATTAATTTTTTAAGTATGCAACAATATGGCAATTTCGTAATAACTGTTATAACTATATTGTTTAATGATCATTTTCTTCTTTCAAGGTGCAAAGAGTAATGACACGTGGCTGCCATAGAGAGAGAGTGTGCTAGAGATTGATATCTTAGCTGCACATAGCATTCCTCTTCTCTTTAAATGTCCAAATTCAGATGTTATAACTCAATCGTTACTTCATCATTATACAAAAGGATATATTAATAATTACGTTAACAAGGTTATCATCCCTAAGTTTAGTAAACTTTAAAAATAGAATGAGACTGTTTATCATTTGCACCGTTAAATAGATCCGTAAACATTCAAAAAAGGATGAATATCTTTATTTTTATTATTTTACTTTACTTTTTAACCATGTTACCTTTCTTATTAAATTTCTAACTATGTTGCTTTTCTCATTAAATTCCTTTAGAGTTAAAAAAAGGCGCCCCAAATGTGACTAGCAAAATGTTTTCAATTATTCCAAAGTCTGTATTATTAGATAAACATGGTGTCACTTTTATATAAAGTTAATAATTATTTGGTAGACATTAACTTAGACCTCGTTCACTTCACCGATTCGAGTTTTCAGTTTTAAGTTTTTACAGTAAAAAGTTCTCAAAAAATGTCACATCTAGCTTTTTCTACTACAGTGAAAAGCTCTCAGAAAATATCACATCTCAGCTCGAATTAAAAACTCAAATCCGCAAAGTGGACGAGGTCTTAATATTTAATTTCACTTCTACATGCATTTGATTGTGAAGTTGACTTGATGCCAAAGGCTATTTTGCCGGGGAATAAAAAAAAAAAGCCAAAAAATGTTGAAAAAGATGAAAAATAACAATATACCCTTCTTTTCCCTTGACACGCAGATCCGAATGAATTCCCCTAAACACAATTTTCATAAACAAGGACAATTGATACTAGAATTGTGATATTTACAATAGTGAATCAAAATTTATGTACACCTGAAAAAATATAAACCATCATGACCAAAAACAGAGTTTCATATTTCCAGTAAGGACTCGATTGTTCTAAATCCATGATTCTCTGGAAGGGTTCCGTTGCCCGGCCGGATAGATATTATTGCTTCCAACCCTGAAACATTCACCATAATGCATTTGGTTTAAGATGGTACTTGCTGATTTAGCAAGAATTTCAAAGAAACCTTAAATGAAGTGGAGCTTTAAAGAAAACTTTTCATGGTTGCAACAAAGTTGCAGTTTGAATTTTTCGCCTGCATTTACAAACCGCTGACACTAATTCTCTAGAAGGTCTGTGTCAAGACTACTGCGAATTGCTTACCAAAACTCAAAGAAGAAGAAGAATTTCTCGGTCTTTGTGGTAAATTAGAACTACACTTTTTAGATGCTAATAAAATGATTAGTGTATGATGTTAAGGGTGCTAGATTAATAGAAATAAAAGTGCATGAAAATAAAGGACTAAAATAAAAAAAGGGGAAAACAACAAACATGACCAGCTAATTGAAATTAGAAATGAATTTAAACAACAAGACCAGGTAATTGGATTAACTAGCAAAAAAAAAAAAAAAAAAAAAAAGGGTCAGATAACTGGATTAATTAAAAAGTAAAATAACAGGACATGATAATTATAAATTAAAAAAAAAAAGATAACAAGATTATTCAACCAAAACTAAATAAGCAAAAATAAATAGATCATTTGACACTTGTTCTTAAAGTTGATCAGGTATCAAAGGCTGTTTGACACTTGTTCTTAAAGTTGATCAGGTATCAAAGGCTGTTTGACACTTGTTCTTAAAGCAGTCGAAGTGTTGAAGGGATGTTTGAAACTTGTTTTTATGGTTGCCCAGCAACCATCATTCTTTAACCTTCTTGTGGTTGACCTTTTTTTAGAGGCAGCTTTTTCAGTTTTCAGATTTTTTAAAATTGGGTTGTTAATTTCAGCAATAATATAAATTTTAGCCCAAAACATTAAGCTCCCTGTGTTATAATGAACATTTTATTAGCCTCCAAAAAGTATAGTTCTAATTTACCACAAACACTCAAGAAAATCGAGCTGCAATAAGTGCGGTATCTTTCAATCTTGAGTAAAAAATTTACCCGTAGCCCTTGCAGCCACGGCTTCTTGAAGAACATCTGTAATGAACAACATGTCAGCTGGCTTATCTACTCCCACTGTTCGCAAAATCTCGATGTAACTATGTATTTCATTTTTGTTTCTGCACTTTAAGATCAAGAGAAAAGATTCACCTTTCCTAACTAGAGTAACGTACTCATAAAGAAAAGAAGTAAAGATTGCAAAAAGAAACCAAAAGACTAACCCGATTGAGGTATCAAAGTATCCGCACAAGTACTTTCTCAAGTCCCCATAATTGGAATTTGCAAACAGAAGCTGCTGTGTTTCTCTGCTACCACTGGAGTATATGTACACCTGAACACGAGAAAGAACAAGAATTCAACCAACATACGCCGTGTTAATTTTCCACAATGGGGTAACGAAGAACGAACTTAAAAAGGCTAAAATGAAATTCTCTAATCTCCAGAATTCCAACAATTGAAGTAACTTGATAAATCTTGCTAAACTCCCAAAAATAATATTACCAGTTATTGACAATTGACTAGTCCTTATTCTCCAATGCGTAACAAAGTGGGTGGGGGGCTGGGGGGACATTGAGACTCATAAAGGGAAAAGAGGGATCAAAACAATCTGTTATTACTCGGAAGAAACAGCTTTGTTTCCGTTTTGCTCTATTTCATTTTTTTTTTATTATTTTCTTAATTTCCATGAGGATATAAGAAAAAGAAATTGGAAAAAAGTTTAAAAGAGCAGAGTTTCAATTTATGTACGTTAAAGCCCAAACTATGCCATCTCTCAAGAGCTTCTGCAACATCATCAAATAAAACACCCACCAACTGATTGGTTTGGAATCCAATTCTCCACACGTGATCCTACATACATTTATAATCTTATTCAGAATAGTAGCCAAAAAGAAGATAAAATCTAGAGATAACTTACTTGCAGTTGTTTTAGAGAAGGAACACTTCTGTCAGCACTAATCATTGCGTCTATATTAGCAACTAAAGAAGCAATAACCAACTCTTTTCCAAGATAATCTGGACAAATAGGCAAAGCACCAATTATACCTTGTTCCAAATCATTCTCAATCTGCAAAGGAAAAGAAAGATATTTTCACGTTGAATTCACTGACAATCGTCCTTTTCCACAACCTTAAAGATGTACATTGGCAATAATAGTCTCACTTGAGAACGTAGAAAATCAATATCGTTCTGAGTTTCTTCACTGTCATAAGTAGAAGAAAAATGCTTTCCAACATTATCATGGGCATATGGTACAAGAACATCGGTGAAAAACGATATAGGAGTTGTTGTCCCTTCAATGTCAAGAAGTACACATCGCTGCACCATAATCAGTGTACAATTATTAAAGAAGACTTATGTATAGCCCCAAACCTCACACACACACACCCATAAAGGAAAACACCCTTCTAGCATGCCTCATTAAAAAGGCAATGACATCACTTTTAGATGGTTAACAAAATAACTGAAATGAAAAACTATGAACTAAATTATATATTACTTCTTGGAGGTAGAGAACACCATGAATTTACTTGGGAAGGCTCGATCACATAATCTGAACTCTGAGCCCCTGCCTTTGGAGCTCTGTTGAAATTCCTGTTACATCCCCAAGATACTCTAGCATTCTGAAGAGGACCATGACTACGTGTAGACCAATCTAATCCCAGCTGATGAAGCTTGATAGCAGCATCGAAGAGATAGTGATAACATTCAGCCTGAATAGCAACTTAAGAATTAGAGAAAAAAATGACAAAAGAATCCAACAGCTGTTCATTTTCTGAGACCAATTTGAATCCTGATAAGTATGAATATGTAAAAATTTAAGCAGGTAGAAAAGCATCACGCAGAGTCATAAGTCTAATTAGCAATAGAGTTCAATCTATTTTATTTGTATGTCGATCTTGTGTACAAATATTACATGTTCAAGCACTTGGAACTACAGATATGTAATGTTGAAAGCTGAAAAATGACTCAAAGATTTAGTCCATTATTGCTTTCTTATAAATGCAACACTGATCTCTCTCTCTCTCTCAAAATTAATTGGGCTATTTTTTAAAAAAATTTTATGGCTAAAAAAAGTTAAGGGTCCATATGTGCTGTGAATATGGCAATAAATGATAGTGATTTGCAGATAAATGAAATTACTACGTCCACATTATATTTGTCAATATGGTTGAAATAAACTTGTCCAACCTGAGTTTTTGCGCTGATCCATGATTCACCCCATATATACACCCCGTGGTTACGAACAAGTATTGCTGTTGTTTTGGGGTAAGCACTGATCTGCACCACACAATTACATATCACTCTTAATGGATCGAATCTGTTTAATAAATTATAAATCAGAAACTTTATATTAACAAAGCTTTTTCTGTTCAAGGATAGGCAACTCTCTGTATGGGAGGATGTCTCCATTCAGTGTACAGGACCTTTCCCAAGGAACTTCTCCACAAAAAATATAGGAATTTTTGTTTCATCCGTCACAAAGAATACTAAATAATGGCGTCAACAAGAAACAATAGAATTATTTGGACAGTTGTAACTGAAGGGATTTACAGCTTCAGCAAGAGCCTCCATGAGCCCCTCTTCATGTGCAGTGTCCTCAATTATTGGGACGACAAGTTCATCATGATAACCATGTCCCGGAATTCCTTTTATCATCTCCATATGTGTGATCTGAAAAGTTTACAAAGAAAGATCACAAATATCAGATAATAACTATAGTCAAAAGATTAACCAAGAAAAAATAACGAAAGAAGAGCAACAGACTGCATCAAGATTTCTACTTTCAGAGACAAAAACAGTTAGCATTTGGAAATCCCATACAAATGGAGAATTTGTAATCTTTATAAAAAATTTGTATCTTTCGTTGTAGTCAAGTTTTAATACTAGTACACTGAGTCTCTATTTCTAGTCACATAGATTCCACAGAACATCTCAATACTTTACTTAACACTTGCTTGCACATTTAGTTTAGCCTATAATTGAATGAATAATTTTATGCATGAGAGCCAGACACATTCTAATTTGTTGTGCACGGAGAATTTCAGCTTAATTCTAAAATAATTAACAAATACTTGCATTTGCGAACAGTTAATAAATATAAGACGGTGTTTGCGTAAATCTATTCAAAAATCAATCCGATGAAAGTAGAAATTTCACAAGACTGAAACTTGAGAATAGTAAGATTTAAACTCTTCACCCCACTAAAAAATTTCAATAGCAGAGAAATTTACTCGAAACTCCTTTGAGGATGGATTAAGCATTGTTACAATACAAGACTGCATCCCAAGACTGTGAACAACAGCCCCTGCATTACACATCTCAAACACCTGAAGAACAGAAAGCAAAAACCAAATAATAAAGGGATCACACCATATGGACGTAGAAGAGTACATAATGTAAATGAAGTTAAAATTAGTACCGATATAATTCAAATGGTGCGTGGCACATAAACTTATTCTAAACATTAAATGAGAAATAAATACCTTCATGAAGGGAAGAATATCACTACATTTCAGGGGCTTATGAGGATAAGGATTAAGAGAAGGTGTCGACAATATATATCCATCTGAAGATAGCACATACATGTCCTCTGCATCCATTCTTTCCTTCTGAACACCTGTATGGAAAAAGTGAAGCATGCTATAAACAGCACAATATCAACAAAGCACATTCTCTTGCTACTTCATCCGCCTACAAAAAACATCCATTGTTTCGGCCAAAAAAAAAAGTGTTATTACTGAAATTAGTTTTAAAAAATCTGATAACTAAAAGCTGTTTGTAAAAGAGCAGCCACGAGAGGGTTAAAAAGTGCTGGTTGCTAAAGAAAACCAAATATTTTAAGACCATATCAGCTGGACAACAAAAAATCAGGTTTCAAACAACCCTTCAACAACTAGATAGCTTCAAGAACAAGTGTCAAAGGGTCTTTGACACCTGACCAGCCTCAAGTGTCAAAGGATCCTTGACACCTGACCAGCTTCAATTTTACTTCCATCCTGTTATTTAAATTTATGTCTAATTCTAGTTAGCCGGTCCATGTATACAATTCTTTATAGTTTTTCATTCTAGTCCTTTATTTTCATGCACTTTTACTTTTATGAGTTTAATACCCTTAATATTTTATGCTTATCATTTTTATTAGAGCCAAAAAAGAGTAGTTCTAATTTTACCACAAACATACATTTCCTACACTGAGAACGCTTCGATGGAAAACTCAAAATTTAGACAGAAAGCTGTGTTTCCCCTTACAAATGCCTAAAAGGATGGTGGAAACGAGTAACAACTTCTGTACCAATTACTAAGTTGGTCGAGTCTATCTCAAAATGAGATTATATACTGCCTTCTATGCAAAATATGTGTGTGTGTGTGTGTGTTAATTAAAGTGATATTAATGAATAAATAATAAAAATAAAGAGAGTATATACCAATAGGGGACATGATAATGAGCTGTGCAGGCTTAGGAACGGATTCATCATGGACTTTGATGGCAATGCTGCCTCCAACAACCGAAAACCATCCAAGAGAGTAGATGCGGCAGCAGAGCTCTGCTGCTAAAGTCTTTGTATCAGTCACTTTCGCACCATTCTGGAGTACCATTGGTTGTTGTTCCAATGTCATGAACCTCCTCAACACATCATTTATGGCTGATGATGGAGGCGATGACGATGACGACTCCATTCTCTTGCCTTCAACAGAGAGGGAATGTATAAAGAATAATTACAACATAACAAACCTAAGATTTAATCTTCATGAAAAAAGTAATGAAGAAAACAAATGGATCAATGCAACAAACCTTTTACATTCCTCACCTGATAAAATTTCTCGATGGATCTTAGCTTTAATGTTGTAAACATTCCTGGAATCAGACACAAGATTTGGGTTTCTTTGCTTCAAAGCCTTGAGAATTTGGCGTGGCCTCTTACCAGCTGAAGTCATTTCCCTTATCAACAGCACCTCTTCTTCACTAAACCGACGACAAGAAGGGTGGTCAGAAGTGTCCTTCGAAGGCTCATGGTTGTGTTCTCCATTCTTAATGGTGAGTGTCCATGAATCCTCATCCTTTTTCCCCACTACTTCAAAAGGGCAATTTGTGAGGCGAGAGTTATTCTTCCTTTGTCGCATACCCTCGCCGGTTTTGAGCCTTTTACGGTAAACACCACTTCGGTCACAGGCAATTGTTACATACCTATCCTTTGCAGAATCCTTAATGGAAACCATGTATCCCTGTGTCAAGGCAAAGTCTCGGACGTGTTTAAGAAGCTTTTCACGGGTCGGAAAGGTTCCGACTGGCGGTGGAAGCATATTCTTTTCCGGGCTACGTTCTTCATCCTGATCCTCACGAACTTCCATCCTCAGAAAACCTTTAAGAAAGCAAGAATTCAGTCATAGATGAAGAAGACCTCAACTCAAAGGAAAAATCCTTGCTTGCCCACGAATGAATAAATAAAGAAGGAAATTGTTCGGTCCATATATTCAAACCCAAACCATGATTCTACTACAGTGTTTTTCCTCTCACAAAGAATTTGAATCAAAAAAATTCCCACCAATAATTCTCTCACAAAGAATTTGAATCAAAACCCAAATTATGGTTCAATTACACTTTCTAAACGAGCCCTAAAAGCTTAAAATGCAAACTAGAGTTATATGCATCAATCCTATTTTTGCCTGAGAAACTTAAGCAAAGTCATATCTAGTGAAAATCATTATGCTTATATTATTACTCCTATCTTGATCACACTAGATTGAAAAAGTAAAAAAAAAAAAAAAAAAGTCAGGAAAAATACTTTCCCACATCTATGTATGACCATGTTCTTAATCATAATAAGCATCTATTTTCTCGTTATTACCATTATAAACCGCTTATATGAGTCAAGGCACAGACTAAAAATTCTCTTTGAAAAACTTGTTAAAACTCAACATTGAATATTGATCTCAAATGTTTGTCACCAGTCTAAAAACGATCACTTAAGCAAATCAATAAAAAATTAAATAATGTAAAAAATAACCACGCAAACACATAAATCAACTCTCCATGCAGGGAAATTCAATCTCAATCAGTCTCCATACCAGAAAAAGTAAAGAAAATGAAAAAAGAGAGAGAGAGAGAGAGAGAGAGAGAGAGAGAAGATAGAAGCGCTTACGGGACTAAAAATGTTAGTGTTCAGTATTGATTGATAGGCGATGGCAGTGAAATTTGGTAAGAAAGGTGAATGAATGATTGCCAGAGGAAAAGAAAAAGGAGGGAAAATGTGGGAAAGGAAGATGAAAAAGAGGGATTGTTTGATTCTTCCAAGGTGAAGAAAGGAAAGGAAGTCAAAGTTATATTGCCAAGGAGGGTTTCTGAGATTGCAAGGATGCTTTTTGCGGCCTAAATCGGGTTTACTAAAACCCGGAACCGATCTAACCCAGAATAGGATATCCGAATTAAACAACATTTTCTCGTCTAGGATAGTTTGGTAGCTGTAACCAAACATTTGGATTACTAATCTAGGGCTTACACCACCACCACCGCACTATAAAAACGATTGGAATCGGTAATACTGAGGACAGCCTTCTTTTTTTTCTTTTTTCTTTTTTCTTTTTTTTTGTGGCATTTTCATCCCGATCTTTATCATTTTTTTATTGTGGCATTTTCATCCCGATCTTTATCATTTTTTTTTTAACATCACTTCTCCAGTAGCAAAATGATGAAAGAAATGTGAGTGATGACTACTTTGTAGTTTCACGGGATCAAAAATCTACTCGCTACGTTCTTTCTGATTCTTATATTTATTCATTCATTTATTTATTTTCTTATTCATTTTCCTTTTTCTTTATAAGTTTCGGAAATTTTAGAAAACCTCTGAGGTGCATCATGCAGAAGCTTTCTTTACTGTGATGTAAAGCAATTTTTCTTTTTTCTTAAAATTTATTTTTACTTTTGATGGTTTACTAATTTTCAACTCTTTTAACGAATGATTCTTATATGTTTGGTGTTTTTGCTGAAATTATTATTATCATTATTATTTTTATTTTGAGTCAGTCATTCCAAACTCATTGTGAATCTAATTTCCTTAGATTTGTGTCTGTCGTTTCACGTATATTGTCGTTTTCTGGATGCTGTGCTTAGTTCTTCATCGTTTTAAATTATTGATGTCTGGTAATTGTTTTCTAAAGATCCGTTCAGTTATGTGAAAATTTTTTGTTGTAATAAAAAAATTAAATATAATTGATTAATTTTTTACTATAATAAAATTTAAATCAGTGAAATGAACGGTGTATATTTTTTTCTAATTAAAATAATTAATATAAAAAATTAAATAATTAGTTAATTTTTACTAGTTATATTTAGCTAGTGAAATAAATTTTTTAAAATAATTAATTATTTAGTTAATGGTTGGAGTAAAAAGAATTAAATTATAATTAAATTATTAACTATTTTAATTAAAATATAAAATAACTAATATGGTTGGAATTATTTTTAAGTTTTTTTTAATCACCCTATTTATTTTAAGTTTTGTTTATTTTACTGAGTTGAGTTTAAAATTTAAGTTTTGTTCTCATTTAAAGTCATATCTCAATTCAAATTAAAAATTTAAATTAGCGAATTAAGTAGGTCTTTAATTTTCTATGTTGTCCTCCATTCATACTTCTGCGATTTCATGTTTACTGTTCTATTACTCGTTTCCAAAGCATTTTCTAAATTAGAAAGAAGAGTGCCCTCTTTCTTCAAATTAGAAAATTTTAAAGTAATTGATTGATTGGCATATTGAATTAATGATATCAAATTATTTAAGTTTGAATATACGAAGCGAACGGGTCTTAATTCATTATAAATCACTACTGTTCTTATTCATCAATGCACCAATCATTTTCATGGTCATCGGTCATTAGCTAATTCCAGAAACGTGATTAATGATCTCTAAACCAAAAAATTTTAACTATCTTAAATTACCTTCTAAACATATTCATATTCCTCCTTTTCTCAGGACTACAACTTTTGTTTGGGCATCTCGAATAGAAACTCTACATAGGGACGTGGAATTCAAATGACGTGACAAAAAAACCCATAGAAAAGCAAAATTTTTATAACTCGTGGTCAAGTGCTAGAAGTACGGTGGAAAATACTAGTGAAGTTTAGTCAACAATAGAGGCGGGCATTTATTTCTACGTTGTGGTTACTGGTTGCCAATGTCTTCATGAGATTGGTTGACCTCAAAAGTCAAAATTCAGAATGACATTATTAGATTCAACAAATAACTTAAAAAAATGAATATAGAGTAGCAAATCTTTGCAATTCTCAAAACTAGCTTCCTCTCTCTCTGGTGTAATAATTTGAACAATGAATGTCACTTCCAAGTACCCTTTTGTCTTTGATTCAGTTCTGATTATCTTACTTCTGTTCTCCCATGTTTTTGGCTCCATGGGATCAAATAGTACAATCTATCCAGGCCAATCTCTTATTGGAAACCAAACACTGACCTCTCCCAGGGGAGTTTTTGAAATGGGCTTCTTCACACCAGGTAACTCTCTAAACTACTATATAGGCATATGGTACAAAAAACCAGGTGATAAAACTGTAGTTTGGGTGGCAAATAGAGAACGGCCTGTTTCTGATTCATCTTTCTCAGCATTGAAGCTTTTAGAAAATGGGAACTTGACATTCCTGAGCGAGTCCAAAGCTGCAATATGGTCAACTAATTCAAAGTCAAGCGTTTCTAATTCCACCATTGATGATGAGAACTTTGTGATAAAAGATGCCTTTGATGAAACTCTTGTGATATGGCAGAGTTTTGATCACCCAACTGACACGTGGCTGCTGGGCGGGAAAGATTGGATACAATAAGATCACCAAAGAGAGCATGTTCCTTACTTCTTGGAGAAACTTGCATAATCCGGAACCTGGGATGTTTTCTCTCGAAGTGGATCAAAATGGAACTAGACAGTTCTTGATATGGAATTGGTCTAAAACACATTGGATTGATTATTAGGCAGGAAAAGGTTTCAGCAGTTATCCTTTTCTAAATGTGAGCCATGTCACAAATGAAAATGAGAGCTATTTCACTTTTAGCGATGCTGCTCTTGGCAACGAAACTCCTACTATGATGAAGATCGAAATGACAGGCCAGTTTAGCCAATATTACTGGATAGAGTACGACAGAAGTTGGGCGTCTATTGACATAAAAACTAGAAGGCATTGTGATGCTTATTGTGGCTCATTTGGTGTGTGCAACCCGCATAAATCGCCTATCTGTGCTTGCGTTGAAGGATTTGAACCACACGAAACGCCAAAAGATGTATGGGAATTGGAAAACATCACAGACGGGTGTGTGAGGAAGAGTCGCTTACTATGTGCTAGTGGGGCAGATGATGAATTTGTGGAGGTGCCTGACGTGCTCTTTCCATCGTATTCGGAGTATCTAGAGGCTTGAAACACCGAGGAATGCAGATTAGCGTGCTTGAGAAACTGTTCATGTAGTGCTTATGCTTATTATGATTGTCAGTGTTTAATTTGGAAACGTGATCTGTACACTATTATGCAGCATACTACTTATGACGAAACTGACCAGACATTGCACATAAGAGTTGCTGCCTCTCATTTGGAAGAAACTAAGGCAACAGATAGAAAAACTTCTTGGATTGTTGTTTCAGTACTTGTGGGGTGTTTTATTCTCTTAGTCTTTGTTGTAGTAACGGTGAAGAGATACTTTGTGGGGGAATCTGTTTTAGTGGAGGATTATCTGGTGGTGTTCAGATATAGAGATTTGAGAGCTGCAACGAAGAACTTCTCAGAGAAACTCGGTGAAGGCGGTTTTGGTTCTGTTTTCAAAGGGACATTACCGCCCAATTCGACTGTTGTAGCCGTGAAGAAACTCAAGAGCCTGAAGCGAGGAGAGAAGCAGTTCCGGGCAGAAGTGATGACTCTTGGAACAATCCAACATGCCAATCTCATTCGCCTACGTGGATTTTGTGCGAAAAAATCGATGAGATTTCTTGTCTATGATCACATGCCAAACGGTTCTCTCGAATCTCTTTTATTCCAAAAGAGTCAATATCCTAGATTGGAGAGTTAGATATCAAATTGAGATTGGAACCGCGAAAGGATTGTGTTATCTCCATGAAGAGTGCACAGACTGCATCATTCACTGCGATTTCAAGCCAGAGAACATCTTGTTGGATGCAGAATACAGACCAAGACTGGCAAATTTTGGCCTGGCAAAGCTGATGGGCCGGGACTTCAGCCGCGTTTTAACGACCATGAGAGTCACTATAGGCTACCTAGCGCCAGAATGGATTTCAGGCGAGGCGATCACACTGAGAGCGGATGCCTTTAGCTACGGAATGTTGCTTTTTGAGCTCATATCAGGAAGAAGAAACAGTGAATTTGATGATGCAATCGAACATTACTTTCCTAAACAAGTTTCGAATTCGATGCAAAAAGGGGAAGATATTCTTGCTTTGTTGGATTGCAGGCTTGAAGGAAATGCAGATATAGAAGAGCTCACTAGAGCATGCAAAGTTGCTTGTTGGTGTATTCAAGATGATGAGAAAAATAGGCCAAGTATGAGTCTTGTTGTTCAAGTTCTGATGGGAGTTGCTGAAATTGGTGTGCCTTCTGTTCCATTGTTCATTCAGCGCCTAACATGATGGCCCATGGAAGCCATGATTATGATGTACCAAAATCCAAGTACTTCTCAAGTTAAAAGCTAAGAAACTGTTTGATTGAGTTCTGGTTACTAAACTTCCAAATAGAGTGGTGATTCTATTTCTTTGTTTGAAATTGGTGTGCCTTCTGTTCCATTGTTTAGAAACAGGATCTTTTGTGTTGTACTAATATCAGTATCTTTTAATTGGCTTGAAGAGAGTGTCTTCACTTCCCTCTTCAAAAGCATGGTTGTTCTAGAAACTATTCTCATAGTCCAGTGCCTCATCCAATCTATAGACCAGCGCCAACCCTCATTATTGACCAGCGCCCTACATCATTGCATACATGTCACTTAATTCTCCAACTCACTCCCCATGCCTCTTAAACGAGTGTCGTGACTGCGCCCTTACATTCTCATACCATCCATAGACATTAGGGTCTATTAGGCATGGTGCCCGTATGTTCCCCCCGACCCGGAAACACACTGGATGAAACTCAAGGCTCAAAAGTTGTTTTCCAAAATTTTTTGTCACTTTTCAAGTTGAACAAACACAATAGAAAGCTAATAACCCAATAGAGGAACATACATACACCTGAAACCAAAAAAATGAGAGAATACATCGACACACTAAGATTGAGCATATTTAAGACTCTATTTGATAAAATCTCTCTCAACAAGATAAGCATTTGAGCGATTGAGGGATAAAACATCGTAGCACTAAAGCTACACCAAACACTGTCAAGACACCAGTACAACGGACACCAAAAACAAACAAAGACAATGGGTGAAAACTCAAGTTATTATAGTAAAAACACACCAAAATCAAAACCCAGGTTATTATAGTTCAACAAATGAGTTTTGGTGGTTAAAATGAATAAGTCTTTGCGGGAGCGAGTAGATGAGCTTATCAAAGAGAAGAATTTGTTTAAGAGGGTTGTTGTGAATTATGAATTTCAGGCTATTGAAAAGGAGAAAAAGTTGCAGGAGACAAGAACTGAATTGGAGCACACTCAAAAGTCATTGAAGATGATGAATTCTGGCACTGCAAAACTGGATCACATTCTCTCGATAGGAAAAGCGAGTGGTGATCGTCATGGCCTTGGCTATACTGATGAGAGCTAAACATCCAAAACAGTGTTTG